AGGCAGACACAGGCAGACACAGGCAGACACAGGCAGACACAGGCAGACACAGGCAGACACAGGCAGACACAGGCAGACACAGGCAGACACAGGCATGCAACCAGGGACACTTTTTTCAGACACAAATTAACCTACCATTATGTCTCTGTGGGAGGAAACTGGAGCACCCGCCAAAAACTCATGCAAGCACAGGGTGATCATGCAAACACAGATAACAACCCCAGGTACAGCACTGAACCCAGGGCCCCAGAGCTCAGAGGCAGCAGTGCCATCCTTATTTAATTTTATAACGTATCGGTAATATGCTGCTGCTTGGAGAACCCACATCACAGTCAGCTGGTAGTATAAAGCCCAGATTCAAACCAACAATCTCTCAATTCTAAAGTTCACCCTGTAAACCTAATGGAAACCTTCCCTTAGTCTACCATTCAGGGGCTTTAACCTCTTTCCTTACTGAAAACTAGGTTTTATTACAAGTATCACCAGACCAACACAACACCCATTTCTATAGATTTTTAAATTAATATTATTTACTATACCAAATGTGCTTTGGTCAATATCTACTCGATTTAAGTTAAAAAATCAGAGTTAATTTAATTTTTGTTTCTGAATTCTAGTGAAGTCTGATAAGAGTTCTAATAGGTGGAGAATATTGCAAAGTCTAGCCTTATAAGCAAAAACTGGAAAAAAACCACAAATACATCTAAACTTAAAAAGGTGTATGGGAAAAGGTTCTGAAAGGTCTTACTCATTTTGTCTTTCTTCGTCACTGCCATCGGCAACAGAAAAGCTCCACGTCTGCTTGAAACCTCCATCTTTCTTGGCTTCTGATCTATCTAGAGCTTGGACAAAAATGAACTACAATTGGCTTATGTTTACATTACAGCACTTAAGCACAATGTAGTTAGCAAAGGAACAAGTAAAGGTTTATTTAATGCTGAAAAGAGAAGAAAAAAAACAACGTTTCGGCTGTGGAGCCTACTTTGGCCGAAATGCTGTGTTTCTTTTCTCCTCTTTTCAGCAGGGAATAAACCTTTACTTGTTCCTTTGTAGCCTACGCACGCTGAAGCAGCCACCTACTTGAACAGCCATACAGTTAGGACTCTCTGCAGGGTTTTTCATTCCAACATGGTAATTTCTATATGAACTAATGACGTCTTTCTCAAGTTAGCTGCTTTGGAGTCCTGATTTCGCTCCTGCTATCCAACATAATATTGCTGCACCACATGGATACAATCTGTAATTAATATTGCTTTAAGACAACTGGCTGTTAACAGTAGATGTCTGTTATCATGTTATTTTTTTATTAAATAATCCATTTATTTTGTCACCCTAAGGCTCATTACATACTGTTAGGCTTTCACTTCAGTTCTGTAAGGTGATGACAGAAAATGTGCTGAACATAAATATAACCTTTTCTATTGCAATTGTATTTCTTTTTCAGTTTGAAATAAGACACCTAACAGATTCTGAAGTAGCAAAACAAGCAGATGCATCATTCACTTTTGTAAAATGACAATCACTTTAAGTATAAACCCCAAAACATTGATCAATACTACTGTGTATATAGGAAAAATGTAATTTTTACTCATCATTGATCTCTTCAGTAATTTTCATTTTTGATCATTTCTTGTGTATGTGCATGCTTATAGCAAAGGTATTGTGTTCTATGTGTACAATAATTAAAAGCCGACTCTAAAATCACAATTAATAAAGAAAATGATCATCTACTCTCCAGTCCAAATTTGCTGGTCCACTCATGTGAAGAGACCAAATAAAATGACACCACCATACAGAAACATAAAGGTCATGTTCAACTTTTAATATAATTATAGTTTGTAAGTGATGTGGAATACTAATGTGAAAATAAATTACACTTTTGTTTTAATTCAGGCTACATACAAAGGATCCCACATTGTGATGGTGTCCTACCTTCCATTTCTTTTTTCCTACACAGGTCATCGTTTTCTTGAACAGTCAAAATCAAAATTGAAAAAAGCACACTGAATCTTTAATTCTTCTCATGATACAACACATTCATGGAATGCAGTGAATGTGGAGGTGGAGGTTCTTGTTAGTTTTCTAATGTATGTCCTAATGTAATTCAAGGACATACCACAGAAAAGCTTAGAGCTTAACAAAGCTAAGGCCATATTTTACAAATCAAATGACATAAGCTGATGTAATACTATTGGCAAACAGATTACTTGGCACAAGAGAAACCAATAAAGAAGAAGTCAAAAGATTCAGAACTTTATTAGCAATGTGCTTTTTCATACATACACCATCTCCTTACCCCACCTACATTAAAAATCTCTTTGGAATTTGTTTTAAGGAAACATTTTACAAAATGAACAAGATCTAGATAGGTTTCTTAAGATTAGTATCCTTTAGTCACCACTTGTAGTAATACAGGCATAAATTATACTGATCACAGGTACTCACAATTCTAGGGAAAGCAATTATTATTAATAATAATTATTATTACAATTATTATTAATATCTTGCACTACATATTTATATCTATTCATGCAGCAATACTCCACAAAAGCTAGGGAGGCAAGTAAAAGGATAAACCCAAATACTCACACAAGACATACACACTTTTGGTCAATAGCTAAGAAAATGCTATGAATATGGCCAAAAAGTTATTAATTTGTAGCAGATGAAAACATATCCAAATAATTTTTAGATTGTTCATATAAAAAAGGGGCATATTTTTCTAAAAAAATCAATATGAACAGCACTACCGTTATTTGAAACACAATCGGCAACATATCTAGCACGTAAGTAGAGCACTATAACAAAAAACTACATATTCTAGATCCAAGCAGGCACACAATGTGTTTTGCATGAAATTCTCACATATAACATTGTTATAATTTACTCAATCAGCATCACATCTGGTGTAAATGTATTTTGCCATGTTAATTTCCTTTCTTGCGCGAGACTGGGTACTTCAGCTAGTTTACTTACTTTAGTTTTTCATGTGCACATCTTGTGATTTCTGTGTTGCTCAACAATGCTATGTTATTATTTTCCTTGTTCATTTCATCTGATGCCCTGTGAACAAGCTTTCTGATAAGATTCATGCTCCCCAACAACTTCCCCCCATAGGCTACCACCCAAAAAACTTATTTGCCTTCTTCAACTACAAAAAGGCAGTACATTCTTGTTTTGTTAGTTTATGCTTTCCGTTTTGGGTAGTGGAATGATAGAGAAGGGCATGTTGCTTTTTTTAACATCAGATTTTTAACAGGGAAAAGCAGTTTCTTACATCTGAGTTTGTCCCAACAATGTCTGACACATTTCAGTTTGCATTTCTTTTACTTCATTAATCCAACTGTTGCCATACAGTTCTATATATAGTTCAGTTAGAAGTGTTGACTTGAATCATGTATTCAAACCAGATTCTGATGGACTGTGTGCTCAGCAGGGCCCCTTAAAGAATACTGCATCTGTAGCTTTGTACAGCTGTACATCTGACTGCTAGTCAATGCCCTACGAGTGTTTAACCAATCTGCCAAAAATATTGCTTTAGTTTGCCAGACATAAATTGTTCTCAAATCACATTGAAATAGCCTTTCCCTGAGATCCAGATTTTGGCAATTTACCAATATTTCTTGGAAGATCACAAAGCAATATACTGTAACCTGGTACTTGATCCTCATTTTCTGCATGAAGCCACATGATGGCACTTCAACACTAGTAGACAGGGAGTTGTTTTGATTTGCATTTTAATCCAACCATGAATTTCTTTTAATCATTGCTTAGTGAGTGGACCTCCCATTTAATATGATGTAATAAAGGGCTTCATTAGGAGTACTGTTACACTATTTTCATCCTAATTTGCATTTAGAATGTACAAATTACAAATTCAAGAATTGGGAACTAAATTAGCACGTCATGAGCACTCTAAAACGTTCTTTTTCTGAATAAATAGTCTTGAATCATCAGGAAGGAATTTATATCTTTTGTTTGTTTGACTGTTATAGACAGAATTACTTTTTTTATGGCAGCAGTTCAAGTTATCTTCTGGCTATGATACTATGCAGCAATGAAGGTGCTTGCAAAAGTATTCAGACTTTTTCCAATAGCTTCCCATTTTGAGATATACATTTATTAATATTTTATTCAGAACCTGGGCGATCAAACTGAAGACTGTCCCATTTCAGCCAGTGAACACTGAAGCACTTTGTCACTGGCCTCACAGTGGCATCCCTCATCAGTTTCCACTTGACCCAGCTGCTGCCTAGTTGGGAGGGACGGGCTGATTAAGGCAGTGCCTGTGCGATACGACACCTTCCATTTCTAGATGATTGAGTACAGTGTGCTCACAGAGATAGATATTCAGAGACTTCACTATTTTTGTACCCTTTCATCTGTCCTTTTCAATTACTTTATCCCTGACTTGCTTTGAAAGCTCTTTAGCTTTCATGATTATCTTAGCTTGAAATTCACTACTTTACCAAGGAACCTCAGAGACTGGTGGTTTTATTCTGAAACCACGAGAACCATTTTTATTACACAGAGGCCACTCAACTAATTTTATGTTCAATTAATACTCTTTTGTGCACCTACATTTATTTAGGTGTGTTACAGTAAAAGGTTTGAAACAATAGAAATGTTTCTATATTCTATGTTTCTATTTTTCTTTCTTATTATTTGTTTGCTTCTTTTTATTTCTTCATTTTTTCTTTGAATTTGTGGAATAGTGTGTGTAGATAATATTATGTGCTGCTTAAAGAGACGTGCAAGTTTAAAGGAACAAAATGTAAAACTGCAAGTTACACTCTATTGAGTAAAGATAAAAATTCCACATCAAAAGTTATTTAAATCTCACTGATACTGTAGTGCTAATCTGTCCTTCCCTGTTCCTGTTATGCACTCATATTGTGTTGTATTTTCTATAATCGGCTTTAATAAAGCCCTGAACTACTGTTATTTTGGTACCCGTTTTAGGTACATCTCCTTTTTTATCTTCTGAAAGTCCACTGCATTGGTCTGATCCCTCCGTTTAGCCATGTAAATTAAAACTGATAATTGTGATCTATACACAAAAACCAATAGGTAGATTATTCTCCAAAATTAATTGTTAAACCAAGGTTTTATTTGACCTGCGATGTCCCATTGAGTATAAGATGGAGGTGGGACAAGAAACAAACATGAACCTTTTCATTGAAGTGTGAATTGGATGACATCATAATTTATAAACGTCTGATTTTTTTATTGCTGTTTTAATAATTGGTTTGCCTGTATTTTATTTTTCCAATCATCAGTTTTTCTAAACAGTTGATAATATGAAGTATTTCTGACACTGCAATAAAATGTGAAATGTGACCGGGGTGGAACCAACCACCAGGTAAATTGGGGTGCAGGTAGGATATTACTCCATGGCACCTGAAGCAAAAGCCAAAGAAAATGACGTGAAAGCATTTCTTTTCTAAAGTTAGGTGGTAAAGGAACCCTACTGGTTAGTGAGCCCATAAAAAAAGCTCATTCACAGATCATGAAGCGGTGGCTCTGTGGCTAAGGATCTGTGCTCCACAGGTGCCGTAAAAATGGCTGACCCTGTGCTCTGACCTTAAGCTTATTTCTTTCTCTCTGTGTGCCTGTGTGTCTGATGGAGAGCAAGTCGGGGTATGCAAAAACACAAATTCCTAATGCAAAAAATTGTACATGGCCAATAAAGTGATCTTATGGGTGGGTAGCTGCGTCAGCATGCGTAGGCTGCAAAGGAACAAGTAATAGGTTTATTCCATGCTGAAAAAAAGAAGAAAGAGAACACAATATTTCGGCCGTGGAGCCTTCTTCAGGTGTGTGAAGAATCTTATCTCTTAAG